GGTATTACATCAAATGTGGAGTATAATTTGACAAGCATAATTAACATTTTGAACTCTAAAGATACAAGTGAGTTTGCACTTGGATGAGCATCCAAAATGTTGTGCTCAATGTGATGTGAAAAATATAAGTCTTTATAAAGTGAGTCTGATGGTTAGGGCAATCAACTCACAATCTGAAGGTTGCGGGTTGGAATCCTCGTTCCACCAAACATGCTTGCCCTTTCAGCTGTGGCGTCGTTAAAATGTGACGGTCATTTCCACTATTCATTGGTAAAAGAGTAGCCCAAGAGTTGGTGGTGGGTGGTGATGAGTAGCTGCCTTCCCTCTAGTCTTTCACTGCTAAATTAGGAACAGTTAACGGAGACAGCCCTTTTGTAGCTTTGCATGAAATTCAAAACAAACAAACTTTATAAAGAGGAAATTAAAACATTTTCTTTTATCATGGTGAGGCTGATAAGTCCCACAAGTAAATGACAGATCACCCACATGAGTAGACACTTCTATCAGTTTTTGAAATAAAGAGGTATGTGACATAACTGTTTGCTAAGCAGAAAAAAGCAGCAGCATACATAAATAGTATTTTGTAGAATCTTTAGTCTGTTATTGTCCAGCTGAATTGAGGAGTTCTGATATTGAAGAAAAGGCTTATTGGGCAGTGACTTGTTGGAGGCAAAAGATTGATCTCCAGTGCTGTTTTTACATGCTCTTAGTTTTGAGTTGCAATGGACAAATAAAGAAGAATGTGGAGAAAAAACATCTGCAGTTAATTTTTGTAACAGTTTTAGACGTATTGGTTATCCAATATTTCACCAGCTTTCAACATTTAAACCATAATTCATGTAATTGTTTAATTTTTAAATTAAAATAAAATCTATCACACTTAAATGTTTATTTTAAGAAGAATACTCTAAGGTAAACTCAGATTTGTTCTTTTATGGATAATTTCAAGCTATTTCATCTTCTTTAAGCAAAATTTAGTGTAGAGGAAATTCCATTCTTAGTTTTAATTTATCAGTATTAGCTACAATCTTTACTAGATATGTGTTGTTAATTCTTATGATTATGATTTAAATATTTTCCCACCTTGTTTTTTTATTGAAATTTTGACAACTAGTAGGACTGTTTAGTACTGTAACAGTTTTGAACTGCCATAGAATTCTGCACTCCTTTAGTATTGGTGGATTGTAAAGTAATAATAATAATGGTTACATTCATTTTTGGCAAGAAGGGTTAAGCATTTAGTTCTCTTGTATTATGAAATTTTTTATGTTCGTTTTTAATTGTCAGATAGGATTAAATGCAGTTTTATTGTGATGAATATATTAAGTTGTTGATTTGATATTCAGCTCTGAAACATATGCTGTAGATTCTTGTATTGTGAGACAAAATATTTAGTATTTATATCTGATCTAGATTCCATTTTATCATTTCAGCTATCTAAATGAGACAATGAGTTACTTCCTGCATTGTTTGAGGCGTGAGCGCGAGCGCTATAGTGCCTTTATAGCTATTGGACTATTAGCTGTTGCAGTTGGAGAATCTATTAAACCCCACATACCTAAGATAATGGACTGTATAAGAATGTCTCTTCCCTTGAAAGATGCATCATCCAAGTAAGAGTGCTTTTCTTTGACAGAACGTTTTGCTACTGGCACAGTGGTTGAAGAAATAGACTTATATGTTTGATCAGGATTAAAGTTACCTGTAACTAGAGTGCGAGAGTTCTGTGTGTATGAAAGTGAAGTCAGTACAAGATAATAACCAGGTTATTAATAATTATATCTTGTGAAGCAGCCAAGTCAGATCCAGAGAAGTATTGGCCATCTCTTGACTTTTAATAGTCTTTTCATCATACTGGATGTTTTAGGTTTCAGATTTCCTCTATTAAAATGTAATGTAAGAAAATTGATTACTTACTTTTCACTATAATTCATTGTTTGTCTATTGTCAAAAAACAAAAAATTATGGAACTTTATATGTATTTTTCTTAAGTGATAAAACATTAGCAATTAACTATAAAAAAAAGACTAATTATAAACTCTTAACATTGATTTTAGAAAGAAAATGCCTACCGCTGATCCAGCAGTTTTCATCTGTATCAGCATGCTGGCCCAAGCAGTTGGTCTAACTGTAAAAAATGATATCAAAGACCTCTTGGAACCTATGATGTCAGGAGGCCTAAGGTATATGGAAAATAATTTTAAATTGATAAAAACTACACATAGATTCAGTTTGTATAGAATAACTAGGTAACACAAGCAGTAACTCTTTAAAAGGATATCGTACACTCTTTCTTATGGTGAGAAAATGTTATTTTATCAAATAATTCTTATGATTCTTTATTAACTTAAAAGGAAGTAAAAAAAATTAAGCAATTTCTTTGATTTATCATAAGTAAAATTTTTATTTATTATGGAAAGTGTGTAAAATAAACTTGTAAGTCATGGTAGTGAATAACTTCTGAAGATTTGTCAACCATTTTAGAGATTCATGTGTCATCAAAGCTCTATTTGACAAACCAACTAACGTTCTAATTCAAGATGTATCTCATAGCTTTGTATATCATTAGTTTCATTTCAAAAAACTGTTCTTAACAAAGTTGATGATAGTTTTAATGAATTCATCCTGATTTTTTTTAATCACAATTGCTGGTTTTGTACATTCAATAATTTGTGTAATTTACAGTGGAATTTCAGTGAACTTCATAGGCTTATTACTTATTATTTTTTGATGTGAACGTCTAGAGGGTCAGTGCTGAATACCTATGTAGCTAAACAATTTTAACTGATTTAAACATTTTATGTGATATATTTACAATGTTCAATAGAATTTCATGACATATTTTGGAAGTTTTGAATAGAAAACATGTTTCAAGGAAATGCCAGTAACACACAATTTAAAAGATGCAACAGAATTCCTCTTGTTATTACCTTTAATCCATAACTCTAGAATATATTTTGTTTTCTTCAAAAAATCCTTGGCAATGTTGAAAGCTAAGCTAATCTGTCTAGGGTGCTTATGGTAGTGAGGGATGATGTACAGATTGAGCATGATCCTTACAAGCCAACATATGTACAAAGGTAAATAATCAGAAGTACTATAATAAAGATTAATGCATTAAGAATGAACAGCTTCTAAATCAAAATCCCATGAGGCTTTTGACTTAAAACCAATATAAGTACCTAAGATAACTACATCATTAAAAGAATGTTGGAATTGTGTGAAGGTTTCTTTTGTGTTGACAAAATATCTTTACAACTTAAGATATTCTAACAAGGTCTTTTGGGTTTGTCCAATATAGTGATTGTTACATCTTTTATACTAGATTAGGTTTCTTGCATGTGTTTTCAGTAAAAAGCTTTAAAAGAATACAGCTTATAAAAAATTAAGCATAATAACGTCACAGACCAGTCTGTGGGGAATATAATGCAGTGTAGTTTGATCAACAGTGGATGGTTGGTTGAGGAGTTGGCTGAAGTGCTCTTTCCAACTTGCATTTATGCCATATTTGTCCTTGATGATGCTGGTGCCATCAGCTGAAAGCAGTAGGGCAGTTCCTGATTTTAGAAGACCATAGACAGTCTTGACAGCAAAAAAGAACATCTTGGAATTCTTTATCTGTATAAAGCTGAACTTTGTCCGCTTTCTTCTCCCACCACCAATCTTGCATTGTGTAAAATTCTCACTGGGCCATGCCTGATAGTGCTTAAACTTATCCCTCTTGGAGGTCGAGCTTGAATTCTTCTGCCATTTGGTGAAGGCCTTGTTCTTTTCCTTTGGCAGTCTACTAATATCTTCATCACTCTCATCAAACATGTCCTGGTGGACCTTCCTCTTTGGGCCTCTTGGTCATCTCCATCACCATTTCTTTAAACTGGTTCCACTTCTCAGTTGGACCACCAGTCAATGGTCCATAGGAAAACAGCTTCTCATCAAGACTAATTTCAAACTCGCACTTGCACTCTGGTTGTTGAAGTCTTGTCCAAGTCCTTCACAGCATAGAATAGAACTTGAGTGAAGAAGAGATTGAACAGAACAGGTGCAAGCCCTGTTTTACTCCATTTGAGATGTCACATGCTTCTAAATATTCTCCATGGGAAAAAACATCTCCAGTCATGTTAACATGGAACAGTTAGATGAGGGCAGTGACCTTTATGGGGCAGCCAAGTTCTCTAAGAGCAGTACATAGGGCTATTCTGTTGACTGTCAAAAGCCTTTGTAATGTCGATAAAGACAGCGTAAAGATTCATATTCTGTTCTATGCACTTCTCTTGCATCTATTTCACTGTGAATATCACATCTATAATGCTACAACCTGGACAAAATTCACATTGAGCTTCTGGTAGATTTTTCTCCAAGACACTTGAGATCAGTGTTCAAGATGGTGTGAACAAAGATTTTTCTGGCAATGGAAAATAGTGAGATTCCTCTGGAATTGCTGCAGTCAGTCTTTGCATCTTTGTTTTTATACAGTGCAATGATGGTGGCATCTTGTAAGTCAGCTGGCAATTCCTCTTCTTCCCAGGTGCTGGTTAGAACATCATAGAAGGCCTCAAATGACACTATGCCAAGTGAGTTGTACAACTCTGCATGAATCCCATCCTTGCCAGACACTTTACCACAGCTAATCTGCTTGACAGCTATTCTAACTTCTTTCTCACTTGAAGGTAAGTCAAGATCTTTTGGTGTCTACATCAAATATCATCTTGAAGTGTTTTTTTTTTATCTATGGCTACTCTCTGCTAAAATTAAGACTCTAGAAAGCATCATTCTTGAAGCATTATTTTCAGATGATTGTGCCCTTATGGTGCTCAAGGAAAATCATCTGCAGACTTTAAATTTTGTACTTTTTGGAGGGGTGGTAAATAAATTAGAGAAGAGGGGATG